CGGTCATGTGATCAGCTGTGTCCAATCACAGCTAATCACATGTAAACAGGGAAATACCGGTGATCGTCATTTTTCTCCTCTCGAGCTGTCACGCTGACAGCTTGAGAGGAGAGCCGGTAATCAGCTTTCCGCGGAGGAGACATGTACACTGATCATCAGGGCACTGATGATCAGTGTGCCCTGATGATTAGTGTAGCCCCAACAGTGCCACCTGTCAGTGTCCATCAGTGCCTACCAGTGCACATCAATGCCACATATCAGTGCCCATCTGAGCTGCCTTTCAGTGTCACCTGTCAGTGCCACCTATCAGTTGTGCCAGTCAGTGCCACCTATCAGTGCGCATCAGTGCCGCCTATCAGAGCTGCCTTACAGTGCCCGTCAGTGATGCCTGTCAATGCCCATCAGTGCCACCTACCAGTGCCTCCTCATCAGTGCCACCTATCGGTGCCCATCACTGCAGCCTCATTAGCGCACATCAGTGAAGGAGAAAAATCACTTATTTACAAAATTTTATAACAAAAAAACTAAGAAAAACGTTTTTTTTTTTTCTAAATTTTCAGTGGTTTTTGGTTTGTTTAAGAAAAATGAAAAAAAACCAGAGTTGATTAAATACCAGCAAAATAAAGCTTTCATTTGGGTAGAGTGTTGCATGACCGTGCAATTGTCATTCAAAGTGTGAAAGTGCTGAAAGCTGGAAATTGGCCTGGGCAGGAAGGGGGTAGAAGTGCTCGGTAGGCTTGTGGTTAAATGATGTTTAATAAGAGAAATAATAATACAATTCCAACACCAGCAACAGTAAACGAAAAATAATATGAAGTGACAAACAGACATGAAAGTGCAGAAACCCAAATAACAACCTGACTGTTCTAAATGGAAGGAGCACACATAAGCAGGGCAAGGTCAGGGCTGAGACGAGAAGCGAGGAACTGGGAGCAGGTAGGACACAGGATCAGGTACAGGAAAAAGGATCAGGCAGGAACACACACGGCTCACAGGAAGAACACAGAAGCACTGAGCCTCAGTTATGGACGGGCTTAAGTGCCTCTCAGCAGCCCACATCAAGTGCAGCCTAATTACTTGGAAAGCCTGGCTGCTGTCCACCGGAACTGTGCCCTTCGACTTCAGGCTCCAGGAACAACAGTGCCACCAGCAGGTGACCCAGGTAATGAGTCCTGACAGTTACTTTCCTGTGAAGACCAGAAGTTCAGGGAAGCTGCACTGAAAACGCTTTAAACTGCAAGTTCTGGTGCAATAATTTTTACAAATGGTTTACTGGGGAATGTTTTTTTATTTTAAACAAATCCTAGTCTGTGAAATCCAAAATATTAGTGCGGCGCTCTATAGATAATTAAGTGATAAACTATCACTTATCTATAGAGCGCCGCACTAATGTTTTGGATTTCACAGAATATGATTTGTTTATTTTATGTAATGGAATGTGGCAGCAGATTATTTGTTTAGTTTATTTCATTGAAACTTATATTTTTCATAGCGCAGTTTGTGTTTTGAAGGTCAATATTTGACCTAGATAAATACAGTGTTTTTTATAATGTTTTTATTTTGTCCTCCGTCTGTTAAGCTAAAAACAACTAGGGTTTCATATTGCTATAATTTTCTCCTACTCCATCCAAAACTGAAAATAAAATTAGTGTGTACTTTTTAACGCTACATAAATAATACAATAGAAAAAAAGTACTCTTTACTCAGTATGGAGTTACTACCCTAACATGAGAAATGTGCTCTGTTCCTCCCCTTTTAATGCATGCTTGTAGGCCTCACTGGTAAGGAATGGGTGCATTACAGGAGAATTTGAGTTCCTTGTAATATTGACCTCTTTTTGAGGAGTCCATGCCCCCATTTACTTATTATAAAAATTGTTTCCTTCTGCCTGCAGAGATTGTGTGTCATACAGTTACTCAGGCATAGCTGTGCAGCAGCGCACTTTATAACCCAGATTTTGATTAACAAATGTACCCAGGTAACTAGGTTATGTTTACTGGCCCCGATAGATTGTGTTACCCACCTGCTGCTGGTATGGAGAAGGATTATCGGACTCTGTACCCGGGCTATATAATCTTTTGTTAAAAACATTGCAAAATTAAATCCTTTAACCTGCATTGCTAACCTGATCCGAGTTCTCACTTTGGTCACGTTGGAGTTGTAGGATTTCTGAGCTAAGATTTGAAGAATTAATTTGATTACTGAACAGATGTATGCAATGGGAACATTGGGCGTTTACGTAAGAGACAGTATGCAGTGCGTCTTTATCAATTTGGAAAGTAAGGTCACCTTTCCTCATTTACAGTTTTAGTGGCAGGTGGCAATTTAAATAAGCATTCTTCTATCCACGTAAGGCTAATCTCTGGCCAAAAAGCTAAACCCTGTGGCTCCGTGTACACTGCAGCTGATAAACTCACGTTTAGGAGCTTTTCTGTCATTTGTTCAGCAGCCCCTGAACTCCCCCTAATGTTTTCCTAGGTATCCATGTACACTGTTGTTTACAGGCAGTTGAGTTTACAGTCGTTTTTTTGAACGCACCAAACTTGCGTTCAGGAATAGATTTTTATCAGCGTTTCAAACGCTTGTAAACACGGCTAACCGCATTTATACACATTTTCGTTTGGAAAATTTTTTTAAGGCTACGTTCACACTAGCCTTGTGTGCAGGCGGCAGAGAGGCGTTTGGGAAGCGTTTTTACCGCTTCCCAAACGCCTCTGCCAATTCTGCACATTACAGCACATGGTGCTGTTCTAACGGGAGCGTTTGCGTCGCGGCAAAACGGACGCCTCTGGTCGAGTCAGGAGGCTTTGAAGCCTCCTATTCTCGTCTATGGTGCCGCTCTGCAAACGCCCGGCCGGTTGCGACGCGGTTGCGGGGCGTTTGCGGAGCGGTAACACTACTCAAACTGCATTATAGGCGTTTGTGGGGCGTTAACGCTCGGCAAACACCTAGCAACCGCCGCTAAACCGCGCATGCAGCGTTTACGGAGCGTTAAACGCTCGGCAAACGCTGGACCAACGCTTGCCAAACGCTATAGGGGCGTTTGGCAAGCGTTGGTAAAACAGCCAAGTGTGAACGAGCCCTAACTCTTCCATTTCCAGATGCTGTCCAGAGCCTTTTTTCATCAGAAAAAATGCATGCAAAACATTTTCCCAGTACTCAGATGGACCTGGTACACCATACTTTGAGGTTTCGCATGAAAGAAAATATGTTGGACACTGCTGCAATAATTTCTGCACAGAAATGAGCTGAAACACATCCAAACACCACAAAAAAAAAAAACAGCTAATCTCAATGAATACTGCTCTCTCTGCTCCTGCTCTCTCGATTTCTCTCAAAATGTCTGAAATAGTAAAATTTTTACTGTTTTTCAGTGCATTCTGGGCATTTTGGAAGGTCTCCTGAGGTTATCTTTAAACAGTGCTAAACGCAAACGCTCATAAATGCGGTATGCAAACGGGACTAAACAGATGTTTTTTAATCTACGTTTTCCAGCAGTCAGTTTCCATCATTCAGAAGTGTCCCGTGTACATGGAGCCTTACATGGTTAGATTGAAAACAGACATTTCTAAACCCACAGTTAAGCCATGGGAAGGCACCCCCACCAAAACAACTCTCTAAACTGTGGCAAATTTTGCTTCAGTGGGGGAAAAAAAAATCCCTACTCATATGTAAAATAAATAAGATAATGCATGTAATCAGCATTCTATTTTAATATTTCTTACAAATTCTGGTAGCCATTTATATTTTGCGTACTTATCATTTTTAGGCCTTGTGACGGGCAAGTTTTTAGTTGAAATGAGCTGAATACATTCCTGATACATCAGAATGAAAAGGCATGCTGTTTTACAGTTTTCTTTGAAAGCAGCCTGCACTTTAAAGCCTGCCCCCCTCCAGCTTGCTGTAGAGAGTGAGCCTTAAGTTTTGTGTGGAAGCAGTGGTCTATCTGCAGAGGTCCCAACACACCACCTGCTGAGTCAGAGCTAGAAAATAAAAGAATAGAATAGAAAGGAATAGAATATAGCCATCTTTTGAAATTGGAATTTTGAGTAGAATGTAGCTGTCTTTTGAAATTTGAATTTCGAATTTTGAAAGTAATAAAATAGAATAGTCTTCTGAAATTTGAATTTTAAAATGCACAGAATAAAATGGAATAGAATAAAAAGGAATATAATTGGGAAAATAAAAGAATGGGGAAACGAAATGGAATGGAATAGAAAATAGTGGAATGGAATCGGAAAGAATGGAATTAAATCGGAAAGAATGGAATTAAATCGGAAAGAATGGAATGAAATAGGAAAGAATGGAATAGAAATATAGCTGTCTTCCGAAATTTGAATAGAATAGAGCCAGCTATTCTTCACAATGAATTTGGATCGATTCAATATTTTTGATTTGAAGTCTTCTAATCCATTGGAAAAATGTGAATCCAGTCGAAAATGAATAAACAAATCTAAACTAAATGAAGTTCATTGCAAATGCAAGGAAACAAAATTAGTAACTTACCGAATCGATGAGAATTAAACAAATGTTTTGTTCTGCACGTATGCTCAAAATTAAAGTCTATACATTTCTTTGACAAGGTCACATCAGCGGTAAGGTACAATGTTTCAGGGCCATGCAGGGCCCCTTTGTCAGGCATGCCTTGTGACCTGCTCAAATGTTTGGATGTTAATTGTTTCAGTCCATGGTGTGTTGGTGATATATACTTTTGATCTATTGTGTTACCAGTCTCCAGCTGGTATCTGCTACAGCACCTGTTTATTCTGCAGTCTTTTCCATATGTGTGTGATGGGAATGTTGCATGTTATATTACAATCCAGACACAGAATGTTAATGCTAGGGTCAGTACATAGTCTAAAGGTGCAAGATGTCGCACTTTCCCACATATTTTGACCAAATGGTCAGACCCTTAAAGGAGCAGGTTCAGCGAGCTTCAAAACAGGGAGAGAACAAGCACAGGGCAAACATTTGTTCTTCATGATTCCTCAACTTGGTAGCAAAACTTGCGTATACTACTTCATATTTTACACTCACAACTCTGATGGTTTTTTACCTGTTGTATAACTGATGTACAGGGACTGAAGTAAACTAGGCTCACCCCTCTGACTGCTAAAGCCAGACAACCTTTTCTGTCCAGTTAAAAAAAAAAAAAAAAAATCATTCTGCCCTGCACTTTGACTCCATGTGTAGAACTTACAGCTGCCTAATATTGATCTCTTGCTTTTCTCTGTGGAATCCATACTACCTGGGCACATTCAATTTTAATTTTTGGACAAGTATATTGGGGATTTCCAAGATGATTAAATTCTTCCAACATGGAGGCTTTATTGTGCTCATGTTCTGAATTTTGTGTGTGGATGGTTTGTTTACTAAAATAATTGCACTTCCATGTTCTGTGTACTGTGGGAGACCAGATATAGTGAATGCAGGGTCCGGGGAGACCAGATATAGTGAATGCAGGGTCCGGGGAGACCAGATATAGTGAATGCAGGGTCCGGGGAGACCAGATATAGTGAATGCAGGGTCCGGGGAGACCAGATATAGTGAATGCAGGGTCTGGGGAGACCAGATATAGTGAATGCAGGGTCCAGGGAGACCACATATAGTGAATGCAGGGTCCGGGGAGACTGGATATAGTGAATGCAGGGTCTGGGGAGATCAGATATAGTGAATGCAGGGTCCGGGGAGACCAGATAGTGTATGCAGGGTCCGGGGAGATCAGCTATAGTGAATGCAGGGCTGGGGATTTAGTAACACTTTTTAATGTATGTGTATATTTTAAAATTCTTTATTGTGAATGTGCTTCAAGGCTGGTCCTATCCTTTCTGATTAGTTTTCAGTTCCTAGTTTCCAAGTCCTCTCATGCCTCCTGAAGTATAATGCATAGTCTTTGCTTCGGGTGGCACTTTGCCAGCTCTCTGAAACTTGATGTATTGCCTGCTTCCTTTGATTGCAGCAGACAGAAGCTTTGATTCCATCTTTGTATACACTGCCTCTCAGCTAGGAACATGCTGTTCTGAGCACTTAATAAGAGGTCAGGGCTTCAGTCTGTGGGTAGGAAAACAGTTTCTTGTTTAAAAAGTTTGGATTTCTTTTTTTTTTTATTTATTTAATTAACCTGCGTAGTGGTCTGAATTTCTTTTAAACAGAACACACAGAGCTGAGACAAATAAAATGGATGTGCTTTAGTTTTCTGCCTGCCCCTCTTAATTAAGTGTTCTTGCATGGCAGACCACTTACTGTTGTCTCACATATATATTCTTATTATTATAGCCAAATTTACCCCCCTAATACACTACATAGACAATAATATACCAAAACGTGCGGATTGTTCCCGATTGGTGTGCTATTACTTTGTGGAACGTTTCGCCGAATGGTTCACGAAATATCGGCGTTTGTGTGGTGAAATTGGTCCCATAGGAATGAATGGCGGAATGTTCAAAGCTAGAGTGGGAGCTGACAAAAGCTAGAGTGTGAGCTGAAAAATCAGGACATGATTTCTAAACTGCCATCACTCCCTCATTTTCAAGCCCATCTACACAAATCTTATATCAAAACGTTCAGCTATCCCTGCTGCCACTAGGCTAAGCCATAGTCCTGATAGTTTTCACAATATGACCATTCGTTTGCAACTCACGCCGCCCATTGACATTCATTGAAACTCCACTCTAGCCACCTCAAATTTGAAGGGCAATTTCTAAACTGCGACTGTGCCTTCATTTGTAATATTTTAGGGACATACTATGCATCAAAATGTAGGTCTGGGTCTTGTGATTCTCAGACTACTGGTGGAGGCAAGAACACTTCACACAATTTCCCCAGAAATTGTAGCTTTTCTAGTATGTTTATACTCTACCGATTAAAGTAAATCTGTTGTAGACCTTGGCTGTTACAATTGAACAATAAAATGCATAAGCAGAGGAAACTATAAAGCCTGTCTCAGGAGGAAAATTTGGCCTCCACGTTCCTTTTAACATCACTATAAAATTGTAGTCATTTGACCACTGCAGTGCCCACTTTTCCATTGATGTCACGTTCTCGGAGATCTTTGGCTCACTTGTCATTCAAGGTCATTGCCCCAAGATGTAGCATGGTTGGTACTGTTGGATGCAGGCAGAGATAAACTGTTATGTATCAATGTACCAAGAGACTCTAATGGCACTTGCTTCCTGATGTCACCCCCCCTGAACTGCTGAGGGTGTGATGGTTGTGCCAGGGAAGAAGGGGCTGGAGGACACTGGATGTCACAAGCCCTGACTGAAGAGGGATTGTTCAAGTTCCCCATGAAAATTGAAGCTGGAAATTAAGTTGATGCCCCAGGTTTTCAAGATGAGGAAAACAAATTCTAGACAACAGTATGAAAGCAGTGGAAGAAATGTCAAATGAGATATAGGCAGCATATATGCAAATCTCGACTTTTTCTCCCATGACACCATTGCTGTAAATTTTCAGAGGGTCCTGGCACTGGAACAGATATAAGGATTAACTAATATCACACTGCCCTTCGTGTGATATTGAAGCAGCCTTTGGGTGGCCTTACATAAGCAGATATCTCCCTGATAACACCATCCTCTAGTGTGGTGTTAAGTTTTGGGGTTTACCATATTTCTTTTATGATGGTGACAGTGGTGTATGTGCAGTACCTCTGGTCCATAGAGTAAAATTTAAGGCCCATTGACAGGATTTTCCGATTGGCTGGAAAATGTCATTGAGAGACTTAGGCCTGTGACTGCTAAATAAGATTTATTTATTTTTTTGCATTTTTCTATTTATAGGAAGGCATTTGGAATAAGTAGCCCAGGGAAAACAAAAACACTCTGTTATATGAGGCTTTACAGACCTGTTTTTACAAATGGCACAATTGTATTATACAAAGTCCAAAGAACTCCATAAAGATAAGTAAGAAGCAAGACAAATATCCAGCTGGGGTTCAAGCAATTCAAGAACAGGAGGTCTGGACCTGGGCATTGGGGGAAAGTCCATCTTTAGGGAAGGTGACATCAGGAGCTTATCGTGAACCTCATGATATGACCATATAGTCGTGCTAAAAGGGATCTTAGGTCTCTCATCCCCTAAGGCCTCTGACACCCTGACAGTTCTGTTTCTTGCAACAACTCCCCAGTAAAAGGATTACTAGACAAGAAGAGAACCACTCCCCTGTTTCTACAGTGTCGCTGGCTGGACGAACGAGGTGCCACTTCCCCATTGATGTGAGATCCTACAGCATTTTAGCCAGTGAATGACACCATAGAAACAGGTGAGTTGTTTATTTTCCTTCTTTATCAATACTGATGCTGGGGAGTTGCCAACAATGGAAAAATCAATAGTGTGTGAAAGGCCTAAGCGTTTAAACAAAAAAAAATAATTCAAGCAATGCTCAACATCTGAAGCAGTTTTCTGGCTAATTGGGTTTCCTTAATTTATCTAGCCACAGAACTCAGGTGATCATTTGTGTCTGTAGGTAAAGGAATAATTTGTCAGCCTTCTTCTACAATTCAATTTAAAGTGGAACTTCACTCATCAATCAACATTGATTGTTTTTATTTCTTATGCTGCTAGCATTAGCAAAGAGATAGGAAAATATATATTTAAACTTTTTTTTTTTTTTTTTTTTTTTTTTTTTTACATGTCTTCAGTTACTTCATGGTTTCCATGCCTAGGCAAATTATGTCATACATCCCAAGAGTCTTGAGGAAGGGAGGGTTCTCAGCTAAGCTAATGCCTGAGCTAAGGGCAGATGGATTCCAGGAAGTAAATGCATGAATCATCTGCCCTTACTCAAGATGGCCACAGTCAGAAATGCCAAGGTGCGTTTTCAAAATGATTTCTCGGCAAAATAAAGCATGGCGACATGGATGAATGGGGGAGTTTGCTTTGAATATTAACAATGAATAACATTGCATTTTTGGTTTGTGGTGCTCAGATGCAGTGCAGTTCCACTTTAATTATTTTTGTTCTGCTGAAGATTAACTTAAAGTTAAGTTGTCCAGCATTTAAAAAAAAAAAAAAGCAGCTCTGTTTGGACTCCTTTCTACAGCACGGTCACCTGCATGATTAGCTGTCTAGATGCCCAGTACTGGTTCTGTCCCTGATACAATGTCACCCAACTCACTCCTTATGAGCCCAGACTTTCAGAGATGCACCCTCTTGGTGTGCATTGTGCGTTCTCACATTGTCCTGGTCTGGCATTACGGCTCACATTCAGTTTGAGAAGATGGTTCACCCATCACCACCTAACACTTAGGCTACGTTCACACTAGCGTTGTGTGCAGGCGGCAGAGAGGTGTTTGGGAAGCGTTTTTACCGCTTCCCAAATGCCTCGGCCAATTCTGCACATTACAGCACATGGTGCTGTTCTTACGGGAGCGTTTGCGTCGCGTTATGGCAAAACGGACGCCTCTGGTCGAGTCAGGAGGCGTTGAAGCCTCCTATTCTCGTCCATGGTGCCGCTCCGCAAACGCCCGGTCGGCGTTTGCGACGCGTTTGCGGGGCGTTTGCGGAGCGGTAACACCACTCAAACTGCATTATAGGCGTTTGTGGGGCGTTAACGCTCGGCAAACGCTTAGCAACCGCCGCTAAACCACGCATGCAGCGTTTGCGGAGCGTTTGCCGAGTTTTAAAAACGCTCCACAAACGCCGGACCAACGCTTGCCAAACACTATAGGGGCGTTTGGCAAGCATTGGCAAAACAGCCAAGTGTGAACGAGCCCTAATAGATGAAGAACCTGTGATGTCGTTGGAGTGGCCTGAAGACTGCAGGAAAGCATATATCTAGTGAAAGGCAACAGGCATCAGGGAATGGGGGAGGCGGAGGGAGGAGGTCAGTTATGAAGCTGGCCTTTATCTTTAATAACAGTTTTATCTAAAGGTTTATAAGATCTAAATGCTTCTTTTGCTTCCTTTCCATGTCATTCAACATGTTATAGCTGACATCACCTACCAATCTACTGTATTAGGCATATAATATGTTAATGCCGTGTTCAAGAGATCTAACCTAGTTTTTGGCTCATAATAGCCTTATTTTTTCTGTAATAATGGCGGAACATCAAATAATAAATAGTGAAGAGCGCAAATTGTACAGATACCAGTCAAAAACTATGCTAATAATCAATGCTTTTATCATAATAGATTTCCTTGTCCTTGGCACAAACTGAAATTAAAATGTAACTCTTTGGCTCCCTGAGAGCTTGGACAAAGCCATCCTCTGCTAGCCTTTCTGAAACACAGTTCTCTGCGAGTGAAATATTCCTTCAGATCTGCAGTTTTGAATGGAGAATTACCATTTTTTTAATGCATTCTTTATTTTTTTTCAAATAATCGGGTAATGTACAGCTAGAACATAATTTTATTTAAAAGCAGTACACAGTAAATTGAAATTTCACTTTGTCAAATTATTAGTAAAAAAAAACCAGATAAAATGTACGTAAGTCATAAACTGGTAAAGATAAAGTAGGGATATTGCAAAATGCATGAAAATATATATAGCAATAACAATATAATGGTCGTGAATAGAGAATACATGTAAAGGGACACCTAATATTCAAGGTTTTTTAATGTTCTAAGGAAAGGATGGAGGTTGCCCAACCCCAGGAATAACCAGTAGAAGACATCTCAAAAGCCATTGCTTAACAAAGGTGGGGCCAAATTCTGCACAGAAAGGCAAGGATCGAGAGAAGTTGTGGAATCTACCAAGTGGGAAGCACCCCCACCCCCATCTCTGCTCAAAAAGGGCTCCAGTGCCAGTACACATTTCAGAACGCAGAACCTAAAATAGGCTGTGTACTGGTTGTGAGAATGTTCTTCTGTACATGAAATTTCTAACCT